CCGTCTGCCTGCCCGGCTGTCCGTATGTAAGAGCTAGAGACTTGAAATTTAAGATGTAGTTTGAGCTTGTTTCCGATAATCGATAACTCGCCCCGTTTACAGGTAATCGATCAAAATTTATATCGAAATCGACTTTTTTTAAAAAATCTCTTGATTAGATTTACAAAACCGGACATGTAGCTTATAGAATAGCATATATATAGCATATATATCAAATATCTTTCATATAATAGCTTTATATAGTTCAGGGTATACCCTAGTCGGGTATTCCCGACCGAAGCCTCTTACTTGTGTTAAATAAAATTTTATAAATGTTAAAAGCAAATGCATTTGCTTTACCACGAACTCTTCTTATGATAGTACTTTACTATACGAATCAGCATTTTGCGTTTGTATTTTGTAGCTTCATTTCCTGCAATAACTATCACTTAGCTGTTGCCAATTTCCTTGTCGGCTGCTTTCTAGTGGCTGATGCAGTTGCTGATGCAGAGCAGAGCCGAGCAAAGCATTATTTGGCAGATAAGACAAATAGAGAAAGTTGCAGGTTTGGCATTGGAACAAATGCAAAGCCGACAGCAACGACTGTTGGTAGCTTTGAGTGCACTTCATGTTGTCGCTGTTGCTGTTGTTCGAGTTGCCGTTGTCATTGTCGTTGCCGTGTTGCATGTTGCATTTGCATGCCACTCACAGCTCACATGTTCTGCATTTTCAAGCCATTTCGACTTTTGTGCTTACGCACTGTCTGCTCGCTTGTTTGACTCTTTGCTCTGCTGTGCTGCTGTGCTGCTTGAGTTTTCTTTGCCATTGTTTCACTCTAATTGAAAATATTTTTGTTTGCACTTCATTAAACTTAAATGGCACACAGCAAAGCCAAAATGGCGAGTGGCAGATAGTTGCATTTAAGAAAAACTGCAAAGCTGTATGCGTATATTTTCATAAAAATTTATTTCAAAGCTCAACATCGTTGTTGGCTATAAAGTTTCTGATGTTGTTGTCGCTGTGCTTGTTGCTGTTATTTTAATCCAAAATGCAATCATTGAAATGCATTTTATTTAAGCTGCACTCGGTTATTGCATTTTTGCATACAAATTTGGTAGCTTTTGTATGTAGCTCAAAACCTCCAGCGACCTCATTCTATATGCTTGCAACTATTGTGCTTCTTACTCGCCGACCAGATTCTGATGCTGCAGCTTGCCCCGCTTTTGGCGTAAAAATTCAATGGCATTTTGTGCTTTTTGGAACTTTCAGCTGATTCTTTATTGTCAATCGAACAATAACGAAATCATCGGGCAAGTTACGTCAAACGCCGCAGACGCAGCACGGCGCAAACTTTAAGGTAGGCAGCAGCATCGGCAGCAGCAACAGCAGCGGCAAGACAGACAGCCCGAATGACACGCCCCAGCAGTGAGATTTATATGCCCAGGCGATGTGACTCAATCAATGGCATTTGTGTTGTGCGACAACAACAACAACAACAACAATGATAACAAAAAGACGAGTGAGAGGAACTGAAGATGCAGCAGAGCATCAGACAGTCAGATGGAGTAAAAGACATGCACAGCATTTTGTATAAAGAAATCAAAAATTTATACAAACTTTGCACAATGAATGAGCAACAACAAAGAGTGCGCACCGTGCCATAGCCATGCCATGGCGCAGTGTCCAGGAGGCCAAGCTATAGCTAGGAGCTGTGCGCCACATCGTCCTCGTTTCATAGCAGTTGCCGAAAATTGTTGCTCTTTGACAGCAACAACAGCAACAACAGCAGCAGCAACAAAATGGACACAGGAACTGACCTGCAACTTGCAGGCAGCAGGCAGCAGGCAAGTGGGCAACAAAAGGACAAGGCTCAGTCGACGTAGTTCTCAGGATGTGTACGAGAATGCATGTATGTGTATATGGTTAGCACTGCATGTGCCTGGGCATGGGAATTAATTAAAAATTCCGAAAATATCCGGTTAGCTCTTTATAACAATTTCTCATGCTATGTGAACTTTTGCTTCTTCTAGGCCAGAAAAATCTAGCAGCATTGTGTGCGTATTGTGCTTTAATATACATTGACTTTTCAACCGAACATCACACAATTTCCAGGCTATATCCCACTTCAAGACGGTCGTGTCGTTTATTCAAATTACATTTCGGCTTGGCCACTTGCCCAGTTAAATACATAAATTAAATTATTTGGCACATGTGGCCTGCATCGTATACGTAATATGTGCTGTTACCATTTTAATTGAGCAATTCCAGGCGACAATAGAAAAATCCAAAGAGCAAAGAGAGAATTCAATTCGCACATACATATTCATGTTATATTTAAAGCATGACAACCTATATGATGTAGTATTACGATCTTCATAGGATTTGGCAAAAGCAGCAAAGTGAAAGATTCCATGTTGGTCAAGTTATGAATGCCAGACCTTACGTTCTATATAATATAATCTACAGTACTGCTTGAGACAGAAAGAATGATCAAAAGAGAGTTTTATGACAATATTATAATACCCTCTGAATGTGTATAATTAACGAGCAGCCCGCACATTGCCTTTCTGCCTGAGCATATTGTAAGGGACCGAAAAATAAATCAGAGTAAATATTATAAAGGCCGCGCATTGGCAGGAAGTGCTTTGACCGAGCATGACGGGGCAATTTTTCAATAAAAATGAACGGCACGCTCGTTAAAACCAAAACAATTGACCACATAAATTAGCGACATTAAAATGGCGAGCCAGGACGGCAGGATGGCAGGATGTGCAAGCGATTGATTCAATTAATTGCCAAATTAAAAAGGGAATTTATCCGCAAAAGGCCACAAGAAAGAGGGCCAAATGACAGAGAACGATATTATGACAGAGTTAGAAAAGCAAACAATAAACGATTTGTGGGCCACTGGCCCTCAATTGGGCCAAATGCGCGCTTGGCCGGATCTGGGCTAACACACAATAGTGACAGGAGGCGCACCCGGGGGGCCTCACTCAGACACAATTGAATTTATTATGGCATTTCAACTCGACAAGCATCAATTGAATATAATTTTATCAACGCCCGCCCACACACACACACACACACACACACACATACACATAACTTAGCCAAAGAGTAAGCGAGGGAGCGGGAGACAGGATATTTCGAGGGCGGCTCAGTTGCAATAGCATCATTATTGAACTAAGCCGAAGCTATTGGCCCTCAATGGGCCACAACACGACACATTTGTAGACACACACACACACCCGCACATACACCAGCAGACAAAGGCAGGCGGTCGAATGCCCTCAGGGTGTATTTTTCGCCACTTTCGCCAGTTTCCAAGTGTGTGTTGTGTGTTGACTGTCTTTGATTCTGTTTGTCTGCATCTTTTGCGGCTAAACTTGCCCGCAACTAGCGTCTCACACACACAAACACTTGTCTCAGTATGTGTAAACATGTTGTCTAACGCGCTAGAACTTCGTCATAGATTGCGATAGCTGTCGCGATTTCCTGTGCAGTTCTCTTCGGTAATTTCGGTCTTTTGGCATATTTTCGCAGACCATTTGCGAGGGGCTTTTGGAAATCAGTAAATATTTATTTACTATTTATTTGGCCAACAGCAAGTTACGTGATATAAAAAAGGGATGCCAAAAAAAAAAAGAAATGGTAGTTCAATCTTGCCAATAAATCAATATTTAAGCAATGTGTATAAAACAATCCAAGCCCAATAGTTGCGTTATTTACCCAAAAATGCACACACCTAAATACGATTATTTGATTGCCGACTATTAGTTAAAGGTAGAGGGACCTTTAAGCCAATAGAAAAAATGATAGATGTGATTTTCTATTTATCTGTCAGCCTTATGTCTAGATCATATGTAGAAAACATTACTGAGAGTGATCGCTTCGGGAAAACATATTTTATTTTTGATTTTATTGGGAAATTAAATGTTGGTAACCTTTGCCATGTGACGGCAATGGTGGAAATGGGCCAAATGCACACACAGTCCATGACAGGAATAAAATGGCAAACGGTCCTTTTTGACCATGCCACACTTTAATGCATAATCGTTGGCTGCACGTGAAATAAACCGCATGGTTGTGTGGGAAAAACAACTATTACGCATACGTGCATGTAATGACCACGAGACAAAAAGGACATATATGTACATATATACCCGTGGTCGTTGGCTGGACAACAATTGCCAATAATGCAGGAGGCATTAACAGGCGCGCCGCTGATTTTTGCGAATTGGCCGTGTAATCTGCCTATAGTTATTAACATGGCTTTATTAGCAAGTGGCTTAAACAGCAGCAGCTTAAAGCGCCATTTGAACTGTTAAGTCCCTTTGCAACAACTGACTGAATGTAAACAACAAAGAAACAATGGCAACAAAAGCAGCAATGATGACATTTTAACTGTTTCCATCAAAATTTATTTTAAGTTATCACAGAAACTAAGTTTCGATCTAAGCTATATAAGGCATGTATCTCAAAGATACTTGTTATTTCTGTAAACTAGAAATTTAACTTATTTTCAGCCAAATATCTTACAGAGTTCGTAGCTATACCCTGTACATAAATAAATAGGGCTTATGCGTGAAATGTATGACCTGAGGGAGGTTAATCCAAACCCATAAAATGTTTACATACTGGAACAGTAGGACCTGCCGAATCTTTTAAGCCAGTCCATCTAACTATCTTTCTATATGAACGTGTCTATCTCGAAAATACCATATACCAAATGCAAATCCATTTTATTTCGATTTCTCGTTACATTATCAAAAAACAGATAAAAGTCGATTTCAAAAGCCTTAAAAGCTAATTTGGTATGTTAACTCTCGTTAGGTATACACAGATTATGTATTTACCTTTTGGGATTCTCCCCCCGTTTTGCTAGAGTCTTTTAATTCATGCAGACACATATAAGATTGCCATATTTATTCACTTACAATTTACAAGTAATTTAAATATCCAGGAATGTGGGTTGTTATAATAACCATGTTGGAATACATATTGGGCTATATTTTAAAATTTCAAGAATACAAAGCGTGCGTTTGCAAACCAAAATATAATATTGACAGAGCATTATAATTTTCGAAGAGCCAAGATGAGCTACTGCAGAGGGTCTCATACCAGGTGCTGTCATGGCTGGCCAAAGAGAGCTGTTGACAGTAAAGTAAGAACGTAAAGGCGGTGTAGAAGAGAACTTCCGGCTGTGTCAGATTTGCTGACAACTGACAGCTGTCAAGGCACAGATGCACTAAAGCTTCAAGGAACTAAATATTTATTAGCGGTCGATGGAGACGATTCAGTGTGAAAGACATGTGTAGGCTCTTTTGGCAGATACGGGCAGCATGTTGATGAAATTCATGCGTACAAATTGTAGGCCAGCAAATAGAAGTGCGTAGCCAGGCATGCCGTTGACCGCAGCCCAAGCCCAAATCGGCGGAAACATTCCACACATACGACACCAAATAGTTCAGTGCAATCCGACGATCCCACGAATAGCTGCAACGGGCCGTGCAAGTCTGCAATGCAATCGGACATTCCTTTAAAGCTGAGCTCGGCAATGGGAACTTTGGCTCAACTGCACCTGCGCTGGGGCACAGAAAAGAGTTCGACATGTGCCAGCAGACATGCCGACGCAATGGTTAGTTGGAATCAATTTCTGTATAATCCGCTAATTAGCTGCTCACAGACAAATACGCCCGCTTATGATCTGGCTATAAGCTATAAACCTATTAGCAGAAAAAGTTTAATTACAATTTAAGGTGAGTTAACTTTGTGTGTGTCACAAGTCAAGAAGCTGTATCTGTTAAATAATGCGTTGAACATCCTTATGCAGCCATAGAATTAGTCCGGCCTTAAACAGTGCCAAAATGTCAACCAGCACCGAGCAGAGGCCACATTTTCCATATTACACACACAGAACAGAACGTCACAGTCAATGGCCGAATATGTGATGCTGTATTGAAGCCCAGCTGGCGAATGTATGTTAAATGTGCTGCAACTTGAGCAACTTGCAACTTGAATTGTGGCTGTTGCTTTAATAGAGAGCACATGCCACACGAATCAGGTGTCTAATTGCAGTATAATATGCAGCCACCTACGCAGACACAGACAGGCACAAATTTTGCGCTCATTAAACTTAAGGTCTGAATTATGGATAGCTCGAAGTGCTCGAGCATTGACCAAAGGACATTTAAAGCACCCTTACTGAAAATTTGATGGCATTTGCACTTGAATTCAAATGAATTCAAGTATGTTTTCGTCTATCATTAAATGTGCATGCATTTCTAATGGTCTTGAAACATATATATTAAATATATATTTGTAAATTTTGGTAAAATATATCAAGAATTTAAAGTATATTAAAGACCAGCATGTGTAGAGAAGAACATTTTGAAATTGTGAGTCTGGCAATACAATTTATTACAACTATTATATATGCCAAATGAAACTCTATATTATATGCCAGCAAGGCTACTCTACAAAACTAAGAAAGTTTTCGACTATTTCTAAATATTTACTCTAGAATATATTACTTTAAGCTGGGCTAATTAGTCGACCGCTGCTTAAACTAGTTCTTGGGCATCTTACTGCATTGAGTTGTAAGCCCAGGGCATATGGATATACACGAAAATGTGGCAAAAGCCCAAGCCCAAAGTGTTTTTAAAACAAACAAAGCTCGTGATAACATGTTGATTTCATCAAAATGCAAATTCAGCTTGTTTTCAGTGTGCATAGTCTTTTGAATCCTTAAGGCCCGGCATTGTAAACAAAAACAGCAAAATGCATAAAATTGCGTATTGTGAGCTGCTTATTGTTGTTTGCGCAATAAATTATACTTAATTAAAAACAATTAAAAGCAAATCCAATTCTATTTTGCATAACGGCAAAATATAAAGGCTTCGACTCAACCATCTTCCGGTAGAGTCGAGAACACTTTTGTACACTGCTGCAAGCTTGTGAATTCCATTGCAAATATTTGGCAACATTTTCGACAACTACAAAAACTAAACAAATCTGTAACATTTCAAATGTAACATGCGGGCGTTCAAGCCCGTCTCTCAAGCCCTTCAAGCTTAGCCTTAAATGCGTTGGGCAACATCTTGAACGTTTGGCTTTGAACGCAACCATTGATAATCTCAGCTTTTTGTCAGGCATTCCAGTTGATTTTGAAAATATTTTAATTATTCCATGCCCCAGACAAGTTTAGCACAAGCATGCAGGCCATACAAAGGTCAGCTGCAAAAGTGAAGCTCAACAGTTGGCCAAACAATTTGGCAAACATGCAATCAGTGGGCAACAAAATCATGCAATTACTCTGCAACATGCAACCACTTACGTAAATGGGCCACTGGTTGAGCTTCTGGGCAGGGGGCGTGGCACACACACACACACACACACCCAAGTTTTGTGCACATATGCAGCATAATATTCGAATTAAAATCAGAGAGTCAAAGTGAGAAGATTTGACAAATATTGACAGCATAATTAATTTCTGGGCGCACTAACCCTGTGTTTGCAATTTCTTATTTAATTATTAACAATAATATGTTAATTATGCAACTTTTGCGTTTTACGATTGTAATTAATTACAATTTTGACAACATACCCGCACAGGTTCATTCCCACTAAAAGAGTTGGGCCCCCCGGGGGGGTGGGGTGGGAGGTAGAATGGACACAAAGTTTTGTAGCTAGACTGCGCCTAGGCACATAAAGCAAACATTGACACTGCCACGCCCACTGGCAACTAAAGGATTTCAGTTTATATAGTATTTTGTAGCACAAAACTTGCTCGAAACTCAGCTGGCAACTGGCAGAAGCTTTTCCGACCGTCGGCCTGGGCAGTGGCCAGTGGGCAGCGGGCAATGGTGAGCGGGCGGGGCAGGAAAGGAAAGGGGAGCGCCTAAAACTCCCAAGAACTTTTTGCTCTACGTGGTATTGTTATTGCTATGCTGATGTTGTATTATTGTTGCGACCCTACACTTTAGAGTATTGCAGACTATATCATTAAGTTGGATGCTTCAAGCAGAAGCTGTAAAATGAATCCTTCATTTGAGTATCCTCAAAGCACACTGTGATCAATGGTGATTGGTTACATTTTTTGAAGAGAAAGAACAAGTCGATGTTTGAAACAGTTTCAAAAGTGTCCCAACTCGAATCGAAACAAAAATTACATTTATATCTTAAACAATTTGTGCTTGGTTTAAAGAACTTGAGCTTATTCAAATAGTGAGACGTTTTAATTACGAAATACTTGATTTTTTTCAGTGTATATACTTGAACAAAATCCTACAAAGTGCCGTAGTTTCTTAATCCCCATGTGATGAGAGTGCAGGTCAGCTGCATATAAAGGAATATTATAGCTGCCTTTCCAGGTTCAATGCATTTCCTGCCGGCAGTTTCTTCGGATTTTTACGTGAAAAACTGCTGTGCAATCTGCTGCTAATGTTAGTGTATCTCGAGCTTCGTTCATTCAATTGTGCTTAGTTTAATTTGCCATTTTGTAGCTGCTGTTGCTGCTGCTGCTTCTGCTGCTTCTGCTGCTGCTCCTGGAGCTGTTTGGGGCTGTTTGGGGCTGTTGGTGGTGGCGGCGTTGCAATGCTCGGACAGCAGTTGAATCCAAAATGAAATACTTGATTTCAGTCTCCATGGAATTTGCCGAGCAAGTGCAGCGGCAAGAACAGAAGTTGGAACAGCGGCAGGAGTGCCAGAAACTTTGCCGCTTGCACAGGAAGTCAACTTGGCATCCCAGCGCCTGCCGACGCCGACACCAACGCAGCAGAGCAAGATGTAGATGAGGATGTGGATGTAGACGAAGATGGAGACGAAGACGTTGACTGCGGAGCAGTTTACTTAAAATGTTTAGTGGAAAGTGTTTTAAAATACATTAAAAAGTTCACGGCTGCCATGGCACGCATAGAATTTATGCGAATTTGGTGAACTCTAGAGTGGAAACTTTTTACATTTGCGCCCGCCCAATCAACTTAAATATTTGTTTAGCTCAAGCAGCTGAGCTCTTAAATGGCTAAAACATACAAACCCCATATACATGGATACACATAATACAAATATATGTAACAGCTGTAATTAATGCCTCACCAAAGAGCATGAGTCGCTATCTATATGCAGATATGCGTGTATATCTATAGATTTAATGCGGTTTTGTCATGAGCACCTTCAGCTATTTGTGCTAGTCATTTAATGAGCTACTTTCACTACCCAGCTCATATTTATGATATGCCCTGCCCGAGGCTCGAGCAGCCAAATATAATTCCATATATTCAGTGTGTGGGCTGTCTATGAATTCGTTCACGTATTTCCGTTTACGCCTTGATTTGATACGCTTCGCAGAAAACTGCCAAATTTGCAAATGACAAAGTCGTATTTCATTTCATTGCCAACGCAAAATCAAAAGGAGCACGAAAACAGCAAATAAGCAAAATAAAAATCAAACAAAAAAAATAAAGCAAATAAACACGCGTAAGTAATTTGGATATTATTTTTCCTCTTATTATTTGTAAGGAGTACGAAGAGTCATCGGAAGGTAGCTGAAATTTCGATGCCCTTAAAACATCTCAAGAAGGGCAGAATGTCATTAAATATTCATAAACAGCTCACAAATCAAAACAATTTTCTATAATAATAAAACCTAAGCAAAAAGTATAAATAGTATAACATAAAATCAAATAATATGGAGCTGGATAAAAGTTTGATAAATATTGTTAAGTCCGACATTAAATAAAAATTAAGCAAGCTATTTTATGCAAGCTGACTTAATGTTAAGAATATATTATTTATATGAAAAAAAAAAGATTATATATAAATTTTTAAATTTTACCATACATTAATAATTATGCTCAGTTAATAATAATTATTGAAAATGTCTCGAATGTTTAATAACAAAGTTTCAATACCCGCGGCAAGAGTATTATAATGCCATGCGAGTTGTTCGAGGCATTTGCATTATTTATTGTAATTTTACATTTTTTCACATTTCGCAGCTGCAGCACGCAATTTGCTGAAATGAACAGCTCTTATCAGCGCATCTGTTTGCTGGTTTTCAGTTCTTGATGCGACAGTTGCGGCAAAACATTAAAAAAATTTAAAATATATAAACAATATTAAAGTCAGACGCAAGAGCACAATGTGCAATAAGCGAGGGGTAGGGGTGGATCTGAAAATAAAATAAAACAAGTAAGAGGTTCCAGTCGGGAGCTCCCGACTAGGGGATACCCTGAACCCTCCTCTTCCAATATCAAATGCATATATATATTCTATTTATGGAGCACTTACATCTCAAATTTCTAGCTCTTACAGGTTCTGAGATCATTGCGTTCATAAATACGGACAGACAATCAAACAAACAGACGGACATGGCTAGATCGACTCGGCTATTGATGCTGATCAAGAATATATATACATTTGGATTTTGCACAAATACAATATACCCTTATACCCATTTTTAATGGGCTCAGAGTATAAAAAAACGAAATAAAGAAAAAAAGGAAAAGCCAACCGATGTTTCCACAATTGTTGGCTTCGTGTATGCAACAAACGTATTTAATTAAATAACCTATTTAAATTTGAATGCATCGAACAAAAAAAAAAAAAAAAAAAACAAGCGAGTGTTAAAAAAGAAAAGAAACTATATATTGAATTGATTCAACAAATGGAAATAATTGGCAACAAAATATAAAAAAAAAAAAACAAAATGAAAATTAATTTAACTCGCGTCAATTCAAAAATGCACAAAACGAATTATGCAAAGCAATTGACATTTTAAATTGCATTATACACAAGAATATGCATAAAATAATATGCACAGCCAATGTCCTTATCTCTGTGCAGGATAACGTACCAAAGGAAAATGCAAATGCAAATTAAATAGCTAAAGTGATT